CAATCATTCAAAAGTCCACAAATGACAAATGCTGGAGAGGCTGTGGAGAAAAGGGAATCCTCCTACACTGCTGATGGGAATGCAGTTTGGTACAGCCACTGTGGAAAACAGTAGGGAGATTTCTCAGAAGACTAGGCATAGACTTACCATATGACCCAGGAATCCCAGTCCTGGGCATATATCCAGAAGGAACCCTACTTCAAAAATACACCTGCACCCCAATGTTAATAGCAGCACTATTTACAATAGCCAAGACATGGACACAGCCTAAATGTCCATTTAAAGATGACTGGATATAGAAGATGTGGTATATTTATACAGTGGAATACTATTCAGCCATAAAAAACAACATAATACCATTTCAGCAACATGGATGCTCCTGGAGAATGTCATTCTAAATGAAGTAAGCCAGAAAGAGAAAGAAAAATACCATATGAGATCGCTCATATGTGGAATCTAAAAAAAAAAAGGAAAAAAACATAAATATAAAACAGAAACAGACTCATAGAATATAAACCTGTGGTTGCCAAGGGGGAGGGGGATGGGAAGGGACAGACTGGGAGTTCAAAATTTGTAGATACTGACAGGCATATGTAGAATAGATAAACGAGATTATACTGTATAGCACAGGGAAATATATACAAGATCTTGTGGTAGCTCACAGTGAAAAAAATGCCACAGTGAATATATGTATGTTCATGTATAACTGAAAAATTGTGCTCTACACTGGAAATTGACACAACATTGTATAATCACTATAACTCAATAAAAAATGTTAAAAAATAAATAAAATAAAACAAATATCTATATTTAAAGGCAAAAAGAAAAAAAAAGAACAGGATGATTTTCTCTATTTCATATCTAAAGAATAGCAGTCAGTTGATTTCAAGGGAAACAACCTCATCCTCGGGCTTAGCTCCATTTGATTCCCTACAAGTTTTTCGGAAAAGTACATTTACTATATACTGAATGCGCCAGAACCTCCTGCTTGCAAATGTGCAGTAAATCTTGTGTCCAGTAGGCAACTTACAGAGGGGATGACAATTCTCCAAGCTAAAGACAGTATATCCAATTTTTTTAATTCCCTGATTCAGTATCAATTATTGAATTCAAAACTTGAAAGAAACCTATGACTTCTTGTCCCTTAACCTTAAGGAAAATGATCAGATACAGTGAGACTTTTCAGCTTTATTATGAGAAAGACCTTTTCATTTCCAGGAAGGCTTGCATTCATGTTGACAGGGCATACTTAGGGGGAGAAAATCCCTATGGCCCTGAGGAAGCCTGCTCTGATGGGATTACTCTTTCTGCCTATCTACAATACTCTCTTATTTCTGGGACTTCTCAAGCAGGGAATTCCAGCAAATTTTGAAAAATAAAGAGTTAAAGATGGAGTAGGAAGTGGCCACTTTCTAAAAAAAAAAAAAAAAAAATCAGGCAAAAAAATGCCATACTTCTTTCAGAATCTTGATCAAACATAACTGAAGTTAGCATTATTCCCCCTAAAGATTATCTATAATTCCTCCTCCTGCATTTTGGAGGAAGTTAATAATTTTCCAAAAATCAAACCGCATGTATTTGATGTTAACTATTTAGGTCCATACTTAGGAGGTGAGAAAATATCTAACAGGCTAACAGCATTTGTTGGTCATTTTTCATGGAATCTGCTCTCTTAGCTATTCTTTCTTGAAGTTTTTCACACTTACTGAAACAGGCTGCTTAGATATTGTATCTGCCAATTCAAAAGATTGCATTTCCTTAGGCATTTCTGTTATACTCATTGTTTTCAACAATGGGACATCCTTGATCTTATCTAGTGATCAGTTACAAAAGTATAGTAATTTGTGTCTGTTAGACCTTGAGAAAGTTTGTGAACTATTTTCTAGGTTATATTGGTTTTCACTTAAAAATTCAACTAATGACTTGTAATGTTTTAACATACATTAAATCAACATATTAATATGTCTTATTTCAAAGTTTGTATTTTCAACATTTGTCTTTGAAAGCAAGAACAGACCTAGATTTGCCCAGTCTCAAGATCTGATATTTGATTAAGTGATTTGATTGCACAATTAAAATACAGAAACCCAAACTGGAAATAATTCTAACTCTGAAAGGGTCACTCCCATAGCGACTACAGCTGCCTAAAAAATTTTCCTACTTAGGAATATCTATTGCTTGGGTAACATTTAAATTTTAAAATAAACTACTACATTTATGCGTCATATTCAGCTCATGCCTTGCCATATCTCACCATGGTATGTTTGGGTAGTCCTTGAAATTAGCTAGACAGCTATTTATCTGTGTTGTTTAATTTTCCGTTATGGCTGTATTTACATAGCACAAAGAAAACTACAGACTTGGCAGTTGTCTTGCTAATTTTATCAATGAAAAAGGATTAAACCACATAATTCAGGACAAAAATACAAAATCTGTATATATTGTCATAGAGTGAGCTTGTAATTATTTGTAAAATTACAGAATAATGAAAGCTAAAGAAGATGTTAGAGATTATTTGATCTCAGCCCCTCACTCCCTCTGAAAAAAACTGAATATAGAGAATTCTGTGACTTGCCCAAAGTCTCACAGCTAATTAGAATTCAGTGACCCTCCCATAATACCATAATGCCACTCGCAACTTTTGGAGATGATGAATTCTACTGCTTGATTTTAACTTGCATTTCTCCCCAGTAGTCCTAAATGCACTGTGTAAATCTATTCATTCTCCCTTCCCTTTCTCCCTCCCTCCTTCTCTTCCTCACTCCCTTCCTTCCTTCCCTCCCTCCCTCCCCCTTCCCCCTCTCCCCCACCACTCTTCTTCAGTGCTTCCATTCCTTTTCTACTTTGTGAAATAAAAGATAAACTCAATATAACTTTCCTTTAAGGTCTACTAGAAGTAATTTCAAGTTCTCTGGAGGCTTGCAGAACCAGGATTGAGGACTACTGTTGTATCAAACTTCAACACATTATGCACAGAGGTATGTTCTGAGACGTGGGTATTCTATGCAGAGAGAGGGAAAAATGAGGACCTCTAAAATGAGTGGCTTAGGCTTAACAGTTATCACTGATTATGGTAGGTTACATAAACTAAAGGCCTAAAGAATAACGAAAATCCAGAAGTAGCTTAAACGGCTACAAATGCTGTCATCCTTAGGAATCCATAAGAGAACAGTACTATGTCCTGAGGAGAGGAAATAAAAGTGCATCATGTCATTCCGCCATCTACAGCCCCTCCCCTGCCCAATGAAAGCAGAGTGTTAAAAAGCCATCTGAGGTTTAACTCAATTTTGAAATTAATTCAAAAGTATTATTGCAACAAGAAAGCCACATAAAAGGTGTTTGTGTTATACGCTTGCTTGCGGGTAAACAGAAGCAATCCCTGTCTCTCACCGGGACAATTCATTTTGCACTCATTGTGTGTTTTGGCTTCCTGGGGCCTGTCCAATTATGGCACTGCCTTTGAGTGAAAAATTGCTTTAAGAATCAATAGCATTTACTGGAACACAACCAGAACTATATTGAAAAAGTAATATTCATATTTGTACTGATTTGTCTCTTTTTAGTCAAAGATCTCAAAGCTTTTTACTTATATTTAGTGGCAAAAAAATATGTAATAGCCTCAGCTATTTTGGGACATTGGGACAATAAGAAGTTAAAAAATAAAGATTCATGGTGAGTCTGTAGCTCACCTAAGACAGAACTGTGGAATCATGTATGTTCTGTCCATCATCTCCTGCTGCCATTTGAACAATCACCCTGCAGAAGGCTTTCTCTCTTTTCTCCACCCGGTGTTTTTTCTCTAATAAAGCCATTTTCTGAGACACGCCTTATGTCTAGAATCTACCTGCTACTGTCTTCCTTCTTTCAAAATCCTATTTATTTGAAACTAATGAGACAGAAACCTGAGCATTGAAAGGGGCTCTGGAGACCCACCTGCAACAACTCGTCTAGTGGAGGAATCTCCCAGCATCCTCCTAGCAGGTGGACAGCTCTACTTCCATAGGCCCCTCCGGCTCTACCTGTAAATTATTCCTGATATTCAGCTAAAATCTACCTCTCTTAAGCTTTTATGGAGTTCCTTCTTCTAGAATAACAACAGAACAAAATGTATCCTCAATATGTTTTCTTTGGTACAAGACAGTTCAAAAATGCAAAGCTAACAGCAAAGCTTTACAAAGCTGTTCTTTCTCCCTTCCATCAACAAACTTCATGAAAGAATAAGCTGTAATTATGCCATCTTTCCCTCATCTCACCTCCCTTAGTTCTCTAAGAGGTGACTTTAACCTACCATTTTTCTAACAGTGCTCTCCTCAAATTCACCCCCCCCCAAAAAAAAATATATATATATACACCAAATCTTAAGGCCTTTTCTCATTTACCATTGCTCTTCATCTTTTTCTGACTACTTCTTTGGACAGTGTTGACCTTTAGTTGAGCTTTATGCTCCAGAAAACAGTGGCAGTGAAGAAATTCCCCCAACCTTTTGTTTTCTTAAGTCTCCCCACCCTTTTATGCTCCAGGAAAGGGCTTACTGTAAAGCAGCCTTCTCCATGTGATCTGCTGTCCACTCTTTCTCGTGACTCCAGAAGACTCATGCGTGACTCCCTTGTTCACCTGTCACAAGGCCAAACATAGATCTTTCCTCCTTTGCCTGAACCTACTGACAAAATCAGGCGCAGACCCTTGAATTTTCTATTTTTTGTTTCATGAATGAGTAGCTGAGATTAGAATTGTTTGTGCCTTTGAAACAAGGTAGACACAGAAATAAACAAGTCTTGTTCAACGTACTGACCAGACTTTCCCTGATTGCAAAATAACCCCAGTTGTAAATCACTCCAGCTGTAACTTGTCTACTCCCCCTGTGAAAGTCTAAGGGAAAGCCTCCTGCCAAGTCTGTGGGAGCTGGGGTCCCTATCACTTCAGCCTGAATAAAAGCATCTTCTTCATCGTTGCTGTGCTTTTGTTTTTGACATCTTCTTGAAAGAGTCCCTTTTTCTTACCTTCACTGAAGACTAGGTTCTGGATTTATGTTTGCTGTTTCCTGGCTTTTCTTTTTCCATTCTGGGTCTAGTTTTTACTCCCTATTCCCTAACATGACACAATCCAAGATTCAACTCTACATTCTCTTTGCAGGCTCTGCATCAAATAACTCATTCTTTCTAATGGCTTCAACCCTGACCCCATAACCAAGTAACCACATTTATATTATCACTGTCAAAATATGAATCCCTATACATCACTGTAAGCATATTACTTTCTTTAACACAGGCTTTAATGATTCCTGGCCTCATTTATATCAAATTCAAATTTCAACTGCAAATATTTCTCTACATCCTTGACTCTACTCCTCCTGGCTCCAAACCTGTATCTCAATGTATACTGGACATCATGCCACCACTATCACTACAAATATAATGAGTTTGGCCTTATCATTTTTTCAGTGACCCAAGTTTAAAATCCTCTCTCTCCATGTGCACCATCTAAATCTATTTATTCTCCTTTCTCAGCAACATGTATTTCTAGTTGAGGCCATGAAACAGAAAGAACAAATTTTAAAAAGTACTGATAACACTTGATGAAAAATGTGCCAAACTCAAAGGGGACAGTGGCCATCCTACCACAGCCTGGGCATGAAGCCAGTGGGCGGTGGAAGGAAGAACAGGTGGGTAAGACCAACATGATACCTGAAGTTCATGGTTAAGGGCAAGAGTCAAACAGAAGGTCAATAGCAGGACTAGCCAACAAGCAGTGGAGGCTGGTAGAACACAGCGTCTAGAAAGAGGCCAGTATTGATGGACCATGGACATGTTCTCAGCCCTAATCATGGGACCAAGAACAAGATGTCCATTTCTAGGAGGATGGATGAGAATAAGGCAGGGCTTCAGTCTCAGGTAAAGCAGAGTACACATGAGATGCATGAGACAGGGACTTAGGTAAAGCAATCCAAGCTCAAGTCTAGTTAATAGAACTGCTCCCAAGTGAGAGACCAACTATTGGTGTTTGGGCATAAGCTGACTTAATGCTTGGATGTGTGTTGTCTTCTGTCTGTTTGACCCACATGTCTTTGCCATCACTGCTGACCAAGGTCACAGAATTCCCAAAGAGTAGTACAGAGGCTTTTAAACTCATCCAAGGACCTGGGCCATCTTGTCGAGATATTGAGACCAAAAACTAGAAAAGACTAGGGACAGGAAAAACAAATTGGAGTTAATTTTGTTTTCTAGGGTAGATTTTTATGGGAGCTTAGACGGAGTATTGGTGAACTCAGGGAGAACTGTGATAAATGTGGGGATGACATAATGAAAATATTCAGAAAATGTGGGAGAAAATTAATTTTTTACTGAAGCTAATTTGAGTGTAAATTACAATGTAGAAAGAAATTTTATATGGTAAAGTCTAGCAAAAGACTACCTACCCATAGTTGAACAGAGCTGGGTTTACTGACAGCAGGAAGAGCACACACCATGGGAACCGTGAGGCACGGCAGTCGGAGGGGGTTAGAAAGGACCAATTAGCTTAGAAAGGCTTGTGCTGAGGGATGCAGAGGTGGAGTCAAGGAAGCAGAGCTTTAATCTTTACTGGATGCTGTAATGAAACAGGTGTCCTTTTATGGCTGGGCATCTCAATAAATATTATCTAGAAGGAAGACGGAGGTAAGCATCACCATTCATATAGCCAGGCTAGGGAAATATCTGGCCAACTTGTGGTTTAGACAATGTCCATACTTCATCTGTGTTCAGACGTGACTATGGCGGTCCTGCGTCTGAACCATCACACGAAATCTGACACTGGTGTTCTACGAAACTGCTTCTGTTAACAGGAGAATACTAAGGCCTATCTCCGAGTGCCAGGCCAGCTCCTGGCTGCGGGAGAAACAGGGGAGAGATTAAACCTGCCTTTTCAAGACCTGAGGTGTCACTGTGAAGGCCCTTCCTTGGATATGCCTGTATCCCCCTCCAGAGCTCTCCAGCTAGTAATGCGTATGAGCGGGCGACTCCCCAGAGCGTGGAAAGAGAAATTACGCTGATTGCCCAGAGACGGTGAACAGATTCTACCCCAGCCCTGTGTCATCACTGAAGCCATATCCTGAAAGGCTTTTACTGGCTCTTAAAGATGCTTATGGCTCCCAAAGGACTAGTGGCACTGTTTCCTAATCTAAAATATTTTAATTAAATAAAATCCTTCCTAAGGAGGAAAGAACGTGCCGCATTGGGTCTGTCACTTCAGTTGTTTTCTCACTTCACTGATATGACGAGACAGCAAGTTTGGGTTTCTCACCCTCTCTCTTCCCCTCCTTCCTTTAATGGCCTGTCAAGAGGAAATTCCATCCTGTGCTGGCATTAGTGCCTGCTGTAAATGCAGCGGAAACGGGAGGAAAGAGGAGGTGGGAGGAGAGGGTGTGTGTGACAGAAGCTAGATCCGAAGCTCAACTGCAAGGCATCTCTCAGTGTCTAGACACCAGCTGCCGGGTAGCCATGGAAACCCACAACTTTGGCTGATGGGCTGAGGAGTAACGACTCTCAGGAGATCCTGGCGGGAGCTTGGTGGTGGGGGTAGAGGAAGGAAGGTTGGGAGTAATGGCAGAGAGAGTCAGAGAAACACCGGCGTGAACGAGAGGAAACAGAACTCTTTCTCTGTGTAGGGGAGCATTAACCTCGCTACCATTTTTCTCATGCACATTCCACACGTAGTGACGAGGCACAAATCTGCCATTCCTGGCAGGTGTCGGGACACATGTTGCTGAAGGTGAATAGCTGAGCTGGAATGATTATATCCCCATCATCCTCCTGCCGGTGCCAAGGTACTTCCTCAGTCAACCAAAACTTTCCACAGTAAACACACGCCATCAACAACTGCCCGAGGACGTCTCAGGAGTGGGAAATCCCAGTCCCCAAGAATGGCTGCCACCTTCACAAGCGCCCAGCAACGCAGACTAATCACAGCTCTTTGTACCTTAAGTGTTCGCCCTTCCTGCTGCTCCCCCTTCCCTTGTCATCGGCAAGGGTTGGGCTGCGGGTTCAAACAAAGGAGGCTGGTGGTGGGCACACTGAGTGAGAAATGAAGAGACAGCAGTTCAGGGCCACATCATCCAACATGCAGACTTAGCTGTTTTCATACACAGATGCCTGGCATCAGAGATTTCCAATCCATAGATTTTAAAGCTTTACAGTTGCTTGCCGTATCCATGGTCCTTTTCCACCACACATTTCTTTTGGATGGGAATTTTTAAGTAGCACTGGCACCCCAACCCCCCACTCCCCATCACCTAATTTTGTGCCCACTCCCACCCCCTCCCTACATCTCTCCACTCCACTTCCTTGACCAAGTACCACCACGCCCAAATACACCCCCAGGGGCCTCCAGGCCCTTTGGTAGTGCAGAGCAGCCCTTTCTCACCAAAGTTTGTCTACAGCTATGCAAATTAGATTTATTGTGTGTCTCACAGTGTTTTGCCTTTACTCAGGCAATCTTACCCACCACAGCTAGAATCTAACAGAGGACCTGCTGGTTTTATTGGCATTATCTGGCTCATAAAACTGTTTTCTAATTGTGCAAAGCTAATAGATGGTATGAGAGTTAATCCTTGGACTCTGAGTGATCAAAACAACAGATACACACACACACATATATATGTATATATTCATATATATGCATATGTATTTATTCTGTAATTTTTTTATGCAGTGGTTCCTCCAAAGAAATGCTCCTGTATGAAAAAATGTTCCAATCCTTTTGAGCTACAATCAACATACAGGCAAATTCAACATACTCAAAAAGGGCTATAAATAGGTAAATACTGAGTTAACTATAATTTGTAAATAGAACATTTTAATCCACCAGAAATTCTTTATTAGACATTAAAGCTTCTATGATCTTGATTTAATAACTTAACTTGGAAGAAAGTCAGCTCACTCCTAAGCAAAGATGTGTCTGTATCACCTATTTCCAGTCAGGACAGAATTCCCAGGGGTTTGGAATTGCTAAAATGGTTCTCTTTTAGAAATGCATCCTCTGTATGGGGAGATGAAACCACTTTCTTCCCTATGTCTTGTGCTCCATGTAGGGAGCGACTATAAAGCAGGAAGACTAGGACACAGATCTGGTCCCCTGGTGCCCAGTTACAATCATTGCTCAGCTGCCAATATCTTCTAATCATTAGGAGGGATGGCATTACATGTGAGAACCACAGGAGTCACCAAGGAACTGCAAAGGCAAAGGAAGATGGGGGAACGTCTGCCCAGGTGGCAAAGGGGAAGCTTTTTCAGTGGCAAGGAGGAGTAAACCAATCGAATGTGAGAGTGGCTTAGGGGCACCTTTGCCGCCTATGTGCTGAGTCGAGAGTGACTCAGCTACTCTGCTTGACTAAGTAGGTATCTTCCTTCTCACACACCTATTGAGTATTCGGTACCTGTTCTAGTTGCTGGGGATATAGCCATGCACAAAACAACAATAAGACAAAAAAAAATACCCTGTTCATGGGTCACGGGACTTAAAATAGTCTATAAATAAATAGGTAAAATATATAGCATGTTAGGTGGTGGTCAGGAAGGAGACGAGAGAATAAGAGAAAGTCTCGTTGAGGAGGTGATGTGTGAACAGGAGCTGAAGAAGGTTAGAGGGTGAACTATGTGAGCATTGAAAGGGGAGACGTTTCTAGGCAGAAGGTCAGTAGTACAAATGCCCTGGACGTGAGCACTTGTGGTTGGTGGAGCTGTAGCACAGACAGTATTGCTAGAAGACAGCAAGAAAGGGAGAAGATGAACTCCAAGTGGGGACCCGTGTGTGTGTCAGTCATGGAGGGCTTGGCGGCCATTTTAAGAACTTGGCTTTTATTGACATCAGATGAGTGCAAGAGAAAGTGAATTGTGCTCAGATTCTAGATACAGACACTGAACATGGAGCCAACAAGATTTGCTGACAGATTTAATGCTGGAAAAGAAAAAAGTCGGTGATAATTCCAAGAGATGTGATCTAAGCCTTAGGAAAAGGCGGCCTTGCCATCTCCTGAGACGAGGAAGAATCAAGAAGGAGCAGGTTTAGGGAGAAAAGACAGGAGTTTCGGTTTCAAAATGTTTAGTCTGAGGTGCCTATTGGATACACAAGTTGAGTAAGCTGCTGTCAGGAGTGGGGAAAGAGGTCTGGGCCACAGGTGGAACATGGGTTCACCAGGTGGTAGGTGGTATGGGAAGCCGTGACCTGGGAGAGATTACCAAAGGACCAGATGTAACAGAGAAGAGGAAGCCCCAGACTGAGCTGTGGGGACTCCAATAATTAGAAACCAGGAGATGAAGAAGCAAGGGCAAGGGACACTGGAAGAGAATGGTCAATGTGTCAGGAGAAAAATCAAGAATAAGTAATAGGCTGGAAGAGCAGTAACTAAAATATTTCAAAGAGTAGAAAGTGATCAACTATGAAATGCTACGGTAAGTCAAAGAAGATGCGGCCACAGAACTGAGCGCTGGATTTTAGCAACGAGGAAGTCATTTGTGACTTTGGCAAAAGTTGTTTCAGCAGAAGGTTGGGAGGGTAGGTGTGACTGTTGTGAATTTAAGAGAGACTAGGAAGATGCAGATTTGACACACTGAATATAGACAGCTCTGGTTAGAAATACAGACTCAGGGCTGGACAACCTGACTTCACACTGAGAACCCACCATGTCCCAGAGGGGATGCTCTGAGCCTGTTGTATAAGCTCTCTGCACCTCAATTTCTCCATCTATAGAGTGGAGATAGTACCTGCCTCACAGAGGTGTGATGAAGTATGAGATGCCTAAAAAGCTTAGATGATATGCTCAGTAAGTACGAAATAAAACAGCCCTTCTCTTAATCCTTGATAAGACAGGGTCCTTGTGAACAAGTTCTATTGTTGGTTTTGGAGACTAAAAGCATAAAAAAAATCGTTTGAGCAGCTATGATGAAAATTCGGCCAACCTGGATTTCCTGTCATAGTGCTTTATGACAGATTTGGATTGAACCACCTCAAGGGAGCATCATATTTCATTTTCCATAGTGTAAGGTTCTGGTTTAATAAAAACACAGTCTAGGGATCCAGAGTATTTAATGAGTTTGAAGTTTTCCAAGCACTGATATTCTTTAACTCTGACAGACCCCAAAAGATTTTTTTCTGATCACATGGCACTTCAGTGGTGGTTCACATAAAGTACTTTGAAATATATAAAATTCATAGTGTTCAGGCATTGCTCTTTCTCTGCTACAAAAACAGTCCATCTGGCATTCTGTCAAACAGACATCTTTATCAACGAACATGTTTGCATCACAATAAAAATTGACATCTGTATAATAGTCCTAAAGCATTTTATGACTATGATTACTATACTTGTAATGTCTGTATTTTATTATATCCCAAACCTTTCCCAATTGGAAATTCAATAATGACACAGATGGCAATTATTAATCAAAACATTTGATTAACCAGAATGTTCCATTCTCCAATCAGATTG